TGCATTTTTCACTAGGGAGAGGAACTCAGTAGGAGAGTAATAAGTTTGTTTGTTTGTAATTAAGCACAAAGCTACACAATGGGCTAATTGTGCTCTGCCAACCACGAATATCGAAACCAGGATTCTAGAATTGTAAGTCTGCAGACATATCACTGTGCCACTGGGCAGAGTAATAGGACTAAGCTTAAATGGAAGGTAAAGGAAACCAAACTTAAATGAAAATACTGCTATAATCATAGTTTATGAAAGGTCAAATGCAAACGCACGAAATTCTACTGAGTTATTAATAAAATACAAAATAACTTTATATTTCAGAAGAAATTTTAACATCAATGAGCATTCAAATCATTAATAATTCAAACTAGCTTCTTGATCTTAATAACACTATTTATTTTTCCAGTATTATTTTTAAATCTAAATAGTACAATCTGAGGGTCGCGGGTTCGAATCCCCGTCACACCAAAAATGCTCGCCCTTTCAGCCGTGGGTGCGTGATAATGTGAAGGTAGCCCTCGTATAGCTTTGCGCGAAATTCAAAACGAACCAAACGAACGAAATCGAAATAGTAAGATTTTTTTAAAGATTTTTAATACTAAATCACAATAATACATGTATATGTCCGCTTAAACAGCGTGACATTTCTGTGAATGCAAGAGAAATATATAAATATAACCATACATGGGTACTACTCGATTAAAAAATGTCATAGTCTTGTATATTCAAAGGTAATTCATTATGATAACGTCGGATGTATCTTGCTGTGTGTTCAGAAGCGATTAGTAATCATAAATGGGTACGTACCCTTAAAGCACATGACAATTCAATGGAAAAATAGCATATTTATATCTTTAAATAAAAATAATTTACACCTTAATCACCAACAAAAGATAATGCCTTCCCAGTCACTGAATATTGTTTTATGATACCATAAGCGTATAAATATTTTTATTCTGTAATTACCAAGTCTAATATGAGTGTGCACTACTACATGCTAGGACGTCACAAATATAGGATTCCTTCGAGGTAAACATGAACGAGAGCCGTTATTATGGGTTTATGTGTACAAAGTATCGGTTAAGTGCGTAAATAATATCTAGCATGTAGCTCAGAATCAGATGCTTCTCACACTGATGGTTAAATTGGGAGCAATGTTGTAGTATTTTTTTCAATATTAAAAGTTAATTAACTTACTAGTTTCATAATCCGTCTGAAGATAATTTTCGACCCTGTTAAAGGATGAAATAATATCTCTGGTCTAGCTGAAAGTAACATCGTAGTTTCTTCATTGTTGTAACACTTGTAATTTCTACGAATCTCATGGATTGAATGACGTTATTTGTTTTAGATAATACCGTGAGTAAAAGAATTGATATATTAGAAAGTAATACATCACTGAAAACCTAGAATAAGTTGCCCATAGACCAACTTACTCAGATTTTCTACACAACCAACAGCGTTAAGATGCTGCCAAGGTAACAAAATATCATATTCGACGCAAGTTACCTCCGAAACACGTCTATGTGTCTGTTGAACTTGCTTTAAGAAAAACAACAACATCACGTGCAACTAAAAGTAAAACAGTCAAGTTGAATTTGTTAGATGGTGTTTGCTTCGGTTGGATAACCAATCTGAGTGTGAGCAGAAAGAGAGTCTTAGAAAATAGTTTCATGAACTGATGTAGAAATTCAGAAATTTGGAATAGTTTTGTAAGTGGGTATAATTTATTGTTTTCGACAACATTTTATTAACTAATAAAAATTTAATGTTCTATATATTACTTGATACAGAGCACTGACTGACCAATCTATTAGGACCTCTTGCCCTACAATATCGCCATGATAATACCCTGGATTCAGCATTGTGTTGATTGTTTTAGATTCTCCATGTTATCTTGTTAGAATGTAGTTCTTTCGGGATCTATGGTCTAAAATTGGTAAATACAAGTAGGTAGAGAATTAAGGTGGCAAATGCAACACTAAGGTTAATTCTAACGATATTCAGCAAGAGTGAAAACCATTGACTGTTTAGGTAAAGAGAAGGATTGAAGTCGTTTTCTTTCTCTTCAGTTTAACTTTGCACAATATAGTGTGGTTGATTGTTACATTACTGTTTTGGAGAATCCTTGTTCGTGGATATACAACTGCAACATTAATAGGCAAACATAATCAAAAACGGTGTTCAGCTACACTTTAAATGTTATTCGTTTGTTGCAAAGAAATAAAAGTACTGAACTTCTGTCACTATAACAACCCAAGCAAGGTCAAGTGCCTTATGTGGTTTACTTCATATATTTATTTTACTGTCAGGAAAGGTTGTTTGTTTTAGCAAAGCCACATTGGGCTATCTTGCGTGTCCACCACGGGAACTCGAACCCGTAAAACAGGGAAATAAAATATCACACCCCTCAAATGATCTACACTTATGCCTAACATGAGCAACAGAGCATCCCAACAGGAGTTTTTGAGAAAAAGAATACCTGTAAGATTAGTTAAAGTAACTGAAGTACCATCGAGAAGTCAATTCATTGTTGAACCTAAAGTGTAATGAAGAAGTGTTAATTGAATCTATTGAAATGGAAGACACGGGAGTTTATATAGCCACTTGTATTAGTAAAGTGTCCAAAATAGACACAGTGACTATAAAGGGGTTGAA